CCCCAAATAATTACTTTTGAAATAACGTGGAAAACACGCAGCAAGTTCCCACAAAGAGTAGAATCTCTACAGTGTGGAAGCAGGCCATTCAGCCCATCAGGTCAACACCGACACTCTGAAGAGCATCCACTCAGACCCACCCTGTGACCCTGCATTTCCCATGGCTAACCCACCTAACCTGCACATCCCTGGACACAATGGGCAATTTCCCACGACCAATCCACCTAACCTGCACATCTTTGAACTGTGGGAGGAAACCGGAGGCCCCCTCAGAGCAAAACCACACAGACGAAGGGAGAATGAGCAAACTTCATACAGACAGTCACCCGAGGCTGGAATTGAACCCAGGTCCCTGCTAACCACTGAGCCACTATGCCACCCATAAGCGGCAAAGTTATAACAACTAGACCTTATTTTTAAATTATGTTGGTTTTGGGCAGTAGTATTGGCCAGAACATTGGAGAGAGCTCCTCTGTTTCAGCCACACAATGTACAAATTTTGGAGTTGGATCATTTTTAGAATCAATGACTGAAACTCGCTCAAAATGAGTCCTTGGGTGCTATGTTCACTTTGCGTTGAGCTGTAACCAAATCTTTCCGATGTCAAACTCCCCTTGCGTTCAACTGCCCAAGTGTCCCCAATCCAGCACTGAACACCTCCTCCTTTCTAATGAAGATGTGAGTTAAGGTTCAATGGAGAGTCTCTGGATTCTTGGTTCAAGGCCCAATCTAACTGCTCGAAACTGCAACCGATGCCAGTACTGAGGGCTGAGCTGAACTCCCTGAGGTGCCATCTCCTACACAAGACACTAAACAGAGCCCACCTGCTCTCTCACATCCTGTTACTTCACCGAGAAGAAGACATAGAATATAGGTGCAGGAGTAGGCCATGCGGCTCTACAAGCGTGCACCACCATTCAACATGATCATGCCTGGTCATGCAATCCCTTTCCCGCTTTCTCCCAATACCCATTGATCCCTTTAGACACAAGGGCCACATCCAGCTCCCTCTTGAATACAAATAATGAACTGGATCCAACAGCTTTCTGTGGTAGGGGCTTCCACAGGTTCACAACTCTCTGAGTGAAGAAATTCTTCCTCATCTCAGTTTTGAATGACCTACCCCTTATTCTTAGACTGTGACCCCTAGATCTGGACTTCGCCAACATCGTGAACATTCTTCCCGCATCTCCCAACAGAACTGTCGCTCCTCTCACCGGCTCGGAGTCCTTCCCACTATTTATCCCTCCACCAGCATCACCGGAGAGCAAGAGAATCCGGTCAGCGTCACGTGGGATCCCGCTATGCACTTCCCCAGTGCCCGTTCCTCAGAAGCTACTTCACTATTCTTTGCCCAAGTCCCATCTCGAAGAGGGGTCGTGCTGGCTTCTGGTGCTTCAGGTTTAACCCTCTGTGTCCCAGTACAGGAACCAGCTTCTCAACCTCTGCACCGATAGAGAAAGATCTGCTTTATTTTCTCCTCAAAGCTTCGTGGTCTCTCTCTTTCTCCAGGAAGCGCAGTCAATGAAGCAGACCATCGGGACAATGATCAAACTAACAGTGTGACAAACCACAAGCCTACAGCGAGTTCGGCAGGTGCGGGGTAGCTGTGATTATTACAATTACGATTTTATGGACGTGAGTTCCATGCTGAATGAGTGAGGCCTAGTGACCGTTGCTATCTTTATAAATATAAACTGCACCCATCCCAATCCAGGCCGGGGCACTGTTCAGAATCAGTGGTAAAGGCATCCCTTATAAATGCGAATCTTTAAACATGTTCAAACCAACTGTTCAGGCCTTGACATTAATCTCATTTCTCACTGCTTAATTACCGAGAATATACAGCCCAGAAAGAGGTCCCATGTCAGTGTTTATGTCTCAAACCAGCCTCCTTCCAAACTAATGCAGCTCACACCATTAAAATATCCATCTCCTTTCTAATAGAAAGGAACTAGAAATAGTCCTTTCTCCCTCATGTTTTTATCCTGCTCCCCCTTAAATCTATCTCTGTCGTGCACTTCAACAAGTTCCACATTAGATTTATAGAATTCTAACAGCACCCAAGATGGGCCTTCTGTCCACAGTGTCTGTGCTGGTCATCAAGTATCCTCTTAGAATCACAGAACCCTACAGTGTGGAAGCAGACCATTTAGCCCATCAAGTCTATACTGACCCTGTGAACAGCATCCCATCCAGCCCCAATCCCTGTCCCTGTAACCCTGCACTTTCCCATGACTAATCCACCTAGCCTTCACATTCCTGGACACTATGGGAGATTTAGCATGGCCAATCCACCCAAACCTGTACATCTTTGGACAAGCATCCATCTATTCTAATCCCATTTGTACGCTATGGCATCTCAAGTGTTTATCTAAATACTTCTTAAATATTTTGAGGGTTCCAGTCTCTATCACCCTTTTAGGCAGGCAGTTCCAGGTACCCACCACCCTCTGGGTGAAAAAAAAATTCCTGAAATCCCCTCTAAACCTTCTCCTGACCTTAGAACACTTGGTTATTGATCCCTCTCCTAAGGGGCTTCTCCCCATCTACCCTAACCATGCCCCTCAGCAATTTGTTACCTCGATCAGAGTTCCCTTCAGCCTTCTCTGCTCTAAGGATACCCACCCAGCCTGTCTAGAAACAAAAACAGAAATTGCTGGAGAAACTCAGCAAGTCTGGCAGCTTCGGTGGAGAGAAAGCAGAGCTAATGTTTTGGGTCCAGTGACCCTTCCCCAGAATGGAAAATGTTTTGAGGAAGGGTCACTGGACCCAAAACATTAGTTCTGCTTTCTCTCCACCGATGCTGCCAGACCTGCTAAGTTTCTCCAGCAACTTCCGTTTTTGTTTCTGATTCCCAGCGTCTGCAGTTCTTTGCTTTTTTTTTATGTCCAGCCTCTCTTCATCACTGAATCACTGCAGCCCAGGGAACATCTTGGTGAATCTCCTCTGAACCCTCTCTGATACAATCACATCCTTCCTATAGACAGGCTGCCAGAAATGTAGCATTACTCCAACAGTGGCCTAACTAATGTATAAACTCCACTCTCACCATTCTCTGGATAAAGAAAGTTCTCCTGAATTTCTTTAGAACTGTAGCACCTCCACCCCAGTACAAATATTTTCTCCATGTTCCATCTAATTAAGCAGAAGGGAATGAATGAACTTTTAGAATTGTGTGCCCCCCCGGGTTTTTGAGGCTCAGTTGCTGAATACAGTGAAGGCACAAGCAAAGAAATCAAAGGTCATCTGGGGCTGTTGGGAATATGAAACATCAATGGATCACTGTGACAGTACTGGCTTGAAGGGCAGAGTAGCCTCCTCCTGCTTCCTATATTCCAACCCAGGGCTTCGAAAACTTTTTAACCCCCTCCATGACCCCATTCTGAGCCTTGAAATTTGTCACCCCTCCCCCCTGTGAGGGACTGAGAAGACATCCATATACAGCTGTTATAACACAGAGTTCCACAGTGCCCATGGCTGTCTCTTAGGTCCCAGGACCCCAACGTGCAATCCCACTTTGGGAAGCACTGTTCTAACCTATCCATGCCCACTCATGATCAACCAGATCAGAGACGGTTTAATGCTCCTCTGGAGCAGATGGGACTTGAACCTGGATCACCTATCCCAGAGACAGGGACACTACCAGTGCACCACAAGAACCCTCCTCTCAAGATTTTAAAGGCCTCTACCAGGTTCCCCCTACCTCTCACCCGTTTGTGATGGATATTGGCAATTGGGTTTAATATTGGCTTAACCCTTTTGTGTTAAATCTGTGTACAAGCAGGACAATAAAGCCCGCATTGGGACTGCAACTAGCAACTGAAGTTCAGCCTCATTTCACGCTGCGGTGGCGAATGGTTGTCGATTCTTTTCCCTTTCCACCTCTCTGTCTCTCTCTTTCTCTCTGCATTACTGGTTTGAGGACTTTGGAAACCTGCTACCCCTCTCCGCTCACTCCAGCTCCAAAAACTGCTGGCGCTGTGTTTATTAATCGCAGAACTGCTACCGCTGCTAAATTGTTGCCGCAGCCTCTCATTCTGCAACAGCGTAGTCCTGACCCCTGCCGGCCCGCGCTGGAATTTAAATGCGTCTTTCGTCCCTTAAAACAATCTCTACATCTGCAATTGCAGATCCCTTTTGCTCTCTGTATCTTTTTATAACACCCGTTTTAGTTTCACCCAGTTCAGATTTTTGCTCCCTCCTTTGTTTTAACCTCCTACTGTTAGTGCTCATATCTCCCGTCTCCCTTTCAATGCATTCTTATCTCTGCATCCCTACTTCTTAGATTTATCTCCTTCGGCACTTAACTTTGATTCCATTCCCTTTTACTCTATTCGCTTGCATATTTTAATGCTTCACATCTCTTTAACTGAAGAGGGGAAAAGTTTCACTTCAATCTTCTTCTAATTCCTATCTGGTCCGCTCAGAACATGAAATCTTGTCCCTCTCTCAAAACATGCAATCTCTCTTTCTCAGAACATGCAATCTCTCAGAACATGCAATCTCTCTCTCTCAGA